ATACTGACCCCTTCGGGACCCCCCACCATTTCAGGTTGAAGCTAAAGCTAGCTATCCGTGCCTTGCTCGGTGAAGTGATCCAAAGGAAGACGTGATACGTGCTTCTTTTATTATTTTAAACTACAAACTATGCTCATGAATATTTATGAAATTAATACATTGTTTTGGGCCTGCGGGCCTATGTTTTGGCCATGTGTGGCCCATGTTTGAATATTGAATATTTCCGCTATTCGTTCAATCCAAAGTTGTGATTTTGTTGTGTATGTTTACTTACTAAGTATGGTATGGACCATGTCCATGGACGCCCTGTATGATTAATTGATGTTGACTTGCGTGTGACGTCATTTGGTCATACAACGGTTGTGCACGTGCTTAGATGCGGTGTGAGGCGTGACGTCATTGACTTAGAAAAGGCATATGATAGGGTACCTCGAGAAGTTCTTTGGTGGACCTTAACTAGAAAAGGTATATCACACAAATATATCAACATCATCATGGATATGTATGAGGATTGTACTACAAGTTTCCGTACTAGTGTAGGAAGGGCTGAAGAGTTCCGTGTTACTATCGGAGTGCACCAAGGATCGACTCTAAGTCCTTTCTTATTTGCCCTAGTCATGGATGAACTTACGAAGTCAATTCAAGATGATATACCGTGGTGCATGATGTTTGCTGATGATATTGTATTGACTGATGAGACGCAATCAGGTCTTAAAGCAAAGTTGGAAGTATGGCAACAAACATTGGAGAACAAGGGTTTCAGACTAAGCCGGAGCAAGACAGAGCACATGGAGTGAAAGTTTGGTGGAGGTAGAAGCAGTAGTAATAGCAGAATTACTCTAGATGGTAAGAAGATATCGGTCGACGATATGTTACGTTACTTGGGCTCCATAGATCAGAAGGACGATGAGTTAGATGGAGATGTATCCCATAGAACCAAAACATGATGGATGAAAAGACGGAAACCATGGCCCCACTAGTCATTTCACCAACCCATCCTTGTCAAGTAGTAGTTGCTGTGAAAAGACAGCAACCATAGCCCCCAACCACCTTGTAATACCCGAGATTAATTTAAGAGGATTAATAGTACTACTCATACCAACAGAGGTGCATCTCCTTTTAAGGGAGCTCATCACCCAAGAACTCCAAAGTTAAGCGTGCTTGCACGGGAGTAGTCTTGGGATGGGTGACCCCCTGGGAAGTTTCTCAGGGCGCGCATGAGTGAGGACAAAGTGCGCGGTAAAGGCTCGTGGTGGTTTGTGGGGACAGTACTAGGGGTCTAGAGTAACTACCTCGGGTCCGTGTGGGGCCCCGGGGTGTTACAGGTGGTATCAGAGCAACCCTGCGACAGTGTGCTGACCCGTTAGATATCGGGCGGGCACTTAGCGGGGCAAGATTCTGGGGTTTTATTGAGATTGGTTTAAGGGCGCAACGAGGACGTTGCGATCCTAAGTGGGGGTGATTGTAATACCCGAGATTAATTTAAGAGGATTAATAGTATTACTCATACCAACAGAGGTGCATCTCCTTTTAAGGGAGCTCATCACCCAAGAACTCCAAAGTTAAGCGTGCTTGCACGGGAGTAGTCTTGGGATGGGTGACCCCCTGGGAAGTTTCTCAGGGCGCGCATGAGTGAGGACAAAGTGCGCGGTAAAGGCTCGTGGTGGTTTGTGGGGACAGTACTAGGGGTCTAGAGTAACTACCTCGGGTCCGTGTGGGGCCCCGGGGTGTTACACACCTCTTCCCTCCCACTAGGAAAGAGCATATTGAATTGATTGCTGAAGCTGCTTCTTCATCGTGTCAGCTTCCTGGTGGCCCCCAAGGCGGCAAAAAGGTGGGGGATCTCTTGGCTGGGGGCTGGGTAGCTTGGCTTATGGCGTATGGTTTTCCTTCGCATGACTCCCTCTGTAAAAAACCCAAAACTGTTCACTTTTGTATGCATCTTTGTAGAAAATCAAGAACACAATTCTTTTCGAACGTGTTCCCACAGATGGCGCCAATGTTGAGTTTATTCGCCGCAGCCCATAAGTTCAACATCCCTTCCGGGAGGGTTTCGTGGCTATGAGGTGATAATACAATGTAAACAATGATTTTAACGTGGAAACCCGAAAGGTAGAAAACCACGGGACTTTTTAGGCTAATGTCCAAACTCTCTCATTCTCATTAATCTCTCCTCAGCATTACAATGTACAAGTTTGAGCCTTGTTAGCCATTAGTGGAGCTCCAAGCTTTAGAGAGAAAAGTCCCTAAACATGGTGGGAAAGGTTCTATTTATAGAGAAAGGGGGAGGGTGCAAGGCTACCCTAATGGGCCGAGTGGGCCGAAATGGGCCCAAAGGGCCGAAACAGGCCTGATAGACTGAAATGGCCCTCGTCGACTGGGCTCCTTACTGAGGCGATGCTTTGGGCTTCGGAATAGTAACAGACCGGGATAATATACCTCAACAACACTTTTGGTACCCGTCCTAGAAATTTTTGATGAAGTATATGGGTCTAGGCCCCAGGACCCACATACTCAGAAGAACAGAAGGCACAGCCGTCACCTAGTAGGATCCCCGTCGGCCAGATGACCTCCATCGGCCAGAGAGGCATCAACTCAGAATATGGTCCAGAAGCCAGGAGAACCGGGTGCCCCCGTCGGTCGGGTCTTCGTCGGCCATGCCTCCGTCGGCCATGCCCATGTCGGCCACGCCCTCGTCGGCCATGGAGAACTCACAAAACATGATTTCATACTTAGTCATTTCTACATATCTTGTATTCGGCCCAGTAGTGGTCCAGTTGTAGGTGGGCCTCCCAAACCCAAGACTTGGGAGCCCAGCCCACATTTTCCCTATAAATACTCCCTTTGGGAGTAGTTGTAGGGGTTGAAAAAATCATAAATTGAAGCATTTATTGCACTTCTCTCTCTAGTTCTCATTTCTCTTTAAACAATTACTCTATCATTTGGTGCTTTCACTGACTAACACTAGATCAAAGGCCAATGAAACAAAATATATAAGAAATGAAGGAAAGGGTGATGAACTGACCTTTGAAGATTCGAAGAAACGGAAGAACACTCGAGCAAGCTTCTCTCTCTAAGAATTTGGGCAGCACTTCGTTAACTCAAAATGCAAGTGGGGGACTTCCTTCGGGAAGGGGAGTATTTATAGACCTCCCCCCAACGGTCACTACACGTGGCACCCCACCAGTGGCCACCCCAACGGTCACCACTACAAGGCCCAATGAGGTGCTACCCCTTCGTAAACGGGCCAGGCCCACTTCGGGCACAGCCAGCCCATTTCAAATGGAGCACCAACGGCTCAACCCATGGACAAATGGCATCTACAACGACCAAGACATTCAACGGCCTCACTAGAGCAAACTAATTTCACTTCAACGGTTGCCTGACATCGAACACCACCACGGAACACAAGGCCTCAAAAGGCGCGCATGTTGGCCACACGAATCACCAGCAGCATGACCCCCATAACGGCCACAAAAGCAAAGTAAAAGACAACCTAACAGCCATCGGCCCTCGTAAAAACAACCGTTGATGATAACCCTTTGTAAGCGACCTGCGTCCAAGGGTTCTCCCACAGGGTTACCTTGGTCAGGAAATCGCCAAAGGGTCGGATTCAAGGGCAATACGAGGATCCCGCTTCGGCCTGGGTCTTACACTACTCCTTCACCCCTCACTCACTCTTCGGCCTGAAGCAGTGGGGGAGTGGGGAACTACACCGACCTCAAAACGCAAAGATATGAACGAGAACCAGGGACACACAACGTCCTCTAGTCCAGGACTACTATCGTCCCCAAAGCAAACAAGAAAACATTCATCACTCACGTCGCTTCGGCCCAGAGCCCTAAAGAAAGTAAACAACACCCTCACCGTCCACGCGAAGCAAAGGACACTCATCGTCCTCAAACAAGAGACAACCACAATGGCCTCCTCGGCCCAAAACACGAAATTCAACCATCAACGATCAGGGAAAGGAAAAACACCGCCCCCATTGGCTACTCATACCAAAGACGCATATCGGCCACTAAGCCATCACACTCATCGACCCCAAACGAACGAGCACACACTATCGGCGGGACAAAGACCTCCCTCGTCCTCAACGGGGAACACAACGGCCAAATATAAAGAATAACCACAGCGTCTCCACATCGGCCTAAAACACCAAAACCGCAGAAATCTACTCTCCTTCACTTCGTCTACATCTCAGCTTAGAGAGTGGGGGACTCCTGATGGAGTATATGGGTCCAGGCCCCAGGACCCACATACTCAGAAGAACAGAAGGCACAACCGTCACCTAGTAGGATCCCTGTCGGCCAGATGACCTCCATCGGCCAGGGAGACATCAACTCAGAATATGGTCCAGAAGCCAGGAGAACCGGGTGCCCCCGTCGGCCGGGTCTTCATCGGCCATGCCTCCGTCAGCCACGCCCTCGTCGGCCACGGAGAACTCACAGAACAAGATTTCATACTTAGTCATTTCTACATATCTTGTATTCGGCCCAGTAGTGGTCCAGTTGTAGATGAGCCTCTCAAGCCCAAGACTTGGGAGCCCAGCCCACATTTTCCCTATAAATACTCCCTTTGGGAGTAGCTGTAGGGATTGACAAAATCATTAATTGAAAAACTTTGAAGTTGAGGACTAAAAGTGTCTCTAGCTTAATAGTCAAAGACTAAAAATGAAAAAAAAAAATTAAAAGTTATGTATCAAAAGTATAACTAACACAATAATCGGGGCCGAAATTGGAAAAACTCAAAGTAGATTCTATGATACTTATAAGGTACTATACTTTCGTTCACATGGACCAATCAGAATGCTGCAGTTGAATTATTTAAATCTTAATTTAAAATGATGTAATTAGTTAAACCAATAAAGTGAATGGTAGATACATTATCCCATTTTTTAAATGGATACCAGAGTTGTCGCCAAAACTCAAACACAAATGAACTGGGACAATTTCGAACTAGTATTGCTGGTTTTTTTAAACCGGGAATTGACCGTTCGTATCCGAACTACGGACACCTTTGACCAACCTCTCAGGTTCTCAATCGCCAATTAGGTAAACCCTACTTGGACAGCAAGTTTCTGTTTTGGGGGTTTAAGCCGAGCTCCTCCTGGACTGGACCGCGGGTGAGGATTTCGATTTATGAGAAAATGACAGCTTCAAGGCTATCGTCATTGGCAGCCGCCGCGGCTGCTGCAGTGTTAGCCGGTTCAAACTCCACGCCCTCGACCTGCGCGTACGCTGATTCTCCATTTCGCTTTTCCCCTTTCTCTCCTTCTCCTGCCACCCCCCCTCCGCCTTCACCGGAGGCCGACTCTTCTGCTTCAGACTCTAATGCTCCCGCAGACGATTCTAAAGGTGGCTTCGATCATCTAGCTCTAGAAAGGGCGGCTAAAGCCCTCAAGGAAATCAACAGCTCTCCGCATCACAAACAGGTGAATTATATATACTTCAGAGTAGTATGGGTTTCTTATTTTTAATCACAGTTGCATGCCGAGACGGCTTCTTATAATTAATATCTTGATTTCTTGTAATTTGTAAAGGTATTTGAATTAATGAGAAAGCAGGAAAAGACGCGTCTTGCCGAGTTGAATGCAGAGAAAGCTCATTTTGAGGCTCTCCAGGCTCATGCGGATATTGTGAGTTACCTCATTGAATATTTGATTCCCTGAACGCTTATAGCTCATTAGCTGCAAGCTTACAACTCATATGAAGTAGGGAAAAGTAAATGGGTATAGGTCTATAGGATTATATCAGTCAAATATAGCACAAAAGGAAGTGGAGTATGAACATATGTATCTGACTATCCAAGATAAGAACTTTATGAAGAAGTGACAATTACACATCTCTTTTTCATAAGAATGAACGTGGAAACAAATTCAGTTGAATAAAAACACCATTTATCCTAGACAGGCTAGACATGATTAAAAGGTTCTATCCAAGATAAGAACTTTATGAAGAAGTGACAATTACACATCTCTTTTTCATAAGAATGAACGTGAAAACAAATTCAGTTGAATAAAAACACCATTTATCCTAGACAGGCTAGACATGATTAAAAGGTTCTATCAGCCATGTGTTTCGCCCCATGATATATGAATCAACCATCTTATGCACTTGACTCTAGTAAGATAAAGTTAGGAATTAATATGAAAGACAAAAACAAGAATTCCCCTTAGAAGAAGAAGAAGAAGAGCAAGCAAGAAGTTGCATGGGAAATCAGGAACTACTTACTAGTTACTACTACAGAATTGAATATTAAAATATAGAATAGATCAACCCAATGTGGTAATGTCAACCATGCAGACAATGTAACTTACGTATAGCTCTATATGGTATTGTGGATTTAGCAAACACTGCCTTATGCTACTGTCAATCATCATTAGTCGTAATGGTTCATCAGCGTATATAACATTCTCTGTTGTTTCTTTGTGCAGGAAAAGCAACAAAAATGGGCAGTAGATCAACGTGAGCTTTATCAGCAACAGTCACAGGCAAAGGCACAAATGCTGAGATATGAAGACGAATTGGCTAGGAAAAGAATGCAGGTGTGATGTTTGGTTGGAGTAGCATAAGCGTTTTTATAAGAAACTTAGATTCATTTATCAAGTTTCTTTATTATAATAATGACTTAATGGGTTAACTTTAGTTTTGAAGTTAGAGTTCTTTAACTCATTGTCAAAACGATCTTTCATGGTTGATTTTTTAATCCATCCCTCACAATTATTGCAGACTGATCATGAGGCTAAAAGGCATCAAAATGTTGAATTGGTCAAAATGCAAGAGGAGTCTTCTATACGAACAGAACAATCAAGACGAGCAACTGAAGAACAGATCCAAGCTCAGCAACGACAAACAGAGAAAGAGAGAGCTGAAATAGAAAGAGAGACTATTAGAATTGAAGCAATGGCTAAGGCGGAAGGCCGTGCTCTTGAAGCTAAATTGACTGAAGATCATAATAGGCGGATGTTAGTTGACAAAATAAATGGTGAAAAAGAGAAGTGGCTTGCTGCAATAAATACAACGTTTACACATGTTGAAGGTACTGTTGTTCAATAAATGCCATTCATTTCTTTGGGAGTTGTGATTGATGTGTTGTGGATTGCTTTCTGAATCTCTTATTCCAACTTACTTTTGTCAATTTAAGATCTGTGAAATCAGTCACCACTTTTCTGTATGCTTCTTGATGCTTATATATTTATTGTCTGACTGGATATCATAGCACTAAGGCTTTATTTCTTTCATGAAAATATTTTCCTATGAAATCCTTTCCTTGATTTATTTTGTTTGGCACTGTAAAAAGTGTTGATGAAAATGTTATCCTATGTTTGGTACCGGATATTTTCCTTGAATATTTAGAGTTTTGTAGAAAAACAGTCTTAGAATAATTTTTCATTTCACAACGAACTTCTTTTCTACGGAAAAAAGTTCCAAGAAAGCATTTTCTTAGGGAAAACATTTTCCTAAACACGTTGCTTTTGGGGATACTTCTGAAGTCAGAATTTCTAATTTCATCTCTACTATTGATGGTGGTAGAACATTCCATTAATGTTTGAACTTTAAAGCAATATGATTTGAACTCACCTAAAGTCAGCTAGAAGCAGGGACTAATGGTTCATTCCATTGAAATGGGCACTGTCATGATATAATCTGCATGGTGTTCATAATCTAATACGGAGTACCAGTATAGCATTTTCTTGATGTGTCCCATCACTTCCTTTCTATTTTCTTTCTAATTTTAGTTGTTCTGCACTTCCCTAAAGTTTCATTAAAGTTTTTTTTCATATGCAGAGGGGTTCCGTGTTTTATTGACTGATAGGAGTAAGTTGATTATGGCTGTGGGGGGAGTTACTGCATTAGCTGCTGGAGTTTATACCACCAGGTCAGTGTATAATATTCACTCGAAGCTCTTGTTGCTTATGTGATGCAAAACACGTTCCTTTAAGTCTTAATATCCCGTGTACTCATTCAACCATTTGCTATTACACAATCAAGTCTTCAATTTTCTTTTGTACTCAAATTAGTCATCCATTATGCAATCTGGAGTTGGGACCCCAATTGTTCATCAGACATATTTTTCTCTAAGAAGGGTATTTTCGTATGGTGGTGAATAGGTTGGATCCAAATTATATAGTTGAGGACAAATTTTAGCCCTAAAATTGGTATATATTTAGTGAACAAACAAAAATACCCTTATTATTTAGAACTATATATGTATGAGGTAATGAGGATTGACTTATGTCCAACTCTTCCTAAAGGGCACATTACTGTCTGTCTGTTACAGTGCAAAGTGTTGTCCTTTAATCACATCAACATAAACCATCAAGGAGAGAAAATATGTCCTTTAATTATGCCCTTGGCTCTGTGTGTTCAAATGTTCATTCAGGGAAGGGGCAAGAGTTACATGGGGATACATTAATAGGATTCTTGGACAGCCATCTCTTATTCGAGAGTCATCAATGAAAAAATTTCCATGGTCAGGGACGATTTCAAAAGTAGCAAACAGAGAATTTAAATCCAGTACAGGCATTGAAGCAACATCAAGTAGATCACATTTTAATAACATTGTGTTGCATCCGTCATTGCAAAGAAGAATAGAACACCTTGCACGAGCCACAGCTAATACAAAGTCTCATCAGGCACCATTTCGCAATATGCTATTCTATGGGCCTCCAGGGACCGGTAAAACAATGGTGGCTAGGGAAATAGCCAGAAAATCGGTATGAAATTGCCATCCTTTTGTCATGTTCTATTTTGGTTTCTTAGCAATTACTAGTCCTGCAAATGCACAGACGTTAGAATACTACTTGATACAAGGAACAAGATTATGGGCCTTTGTGGTAGAGGGTCATTTGTCTAAATCGGCTCATTTTATGGGAAAAAAATATTCGGTAATAACTATTTCAGCTAAATAAGTAAATCGAAAGCTCTTAGGCTATATTTGGTCCAACAAACTTAAATTGGAAGCTAATGTCTGGATCATTAGCTATTGTCTAGAGCTAGATATGGGTTGTTGAATCAATATGTTAACATAATGATGCAGAATTGTAGACACTGTTGGTAAATATGGTGACTCTAAATGCAAAATACATTAAAAGACATTGTCCCAATGTGCAATAGTATTTTTTTGTAAAAATTACTTGAGAGCAACTTTTGTACAACTAACCTACTACTATGACTGAGTGGGAATGAAGCGGTACAAACCTTGATTTCCCTTACTTTTTTTCCAACTTCATCACACAAACCTGGTATCCAAATGAGGCTCTTGTTGCCTATTTCAACCCGCAATGGAATCTAGTGGCGTGCTGAACATTCACTCGTTGGGCCACCCTTTGTGTGTTTTAAATTCGACAAAAACCCCATTTCCTCTTCTCTATGTATGGTCTAAAATAATAATAATAATAGTGGTAGTAATAGTAGTATAATAGCACAAAAAAGGTAATCCTTATTGCTGAAGCCGAGGTTGTAATAACAATCCAAAGTTTTTTTCCCCTTGGGTAGCTCTCGTGGAGTTAAAACTGAACTTTGTATGTTCTAAATGCTACCGGCTCTAAATTCTACAGGGTTTAGACTATGCAATGATGACAGGAGGAGATGTTGTACCATTGGGTGCACAAGCAGTCACTAAAATTCATGAGATTTTCGATTGGTCCAAAAAATCCAGGAAGGGCTTATTGCTTTTCATTGATGAGGCTGATGCCTTCTTATGCGAGTAAGTCTCTTCATTCAGTTCGCTTAGGCCATGTCTGGAACTAAATGAAAGGAAATGATGTATTAATTAATTTTTTATTTTACCTTGGATTATATGAAAGAAAATTATTTTTGGTTAGAAGTTTTTAGAGTTCTATATATATTTATATTTTCTAGTCTTTATATGACATAAATGTTTAGATAAAATATGGTTAAACAAATATCTGAAGATGAATTATTGAGTTTGAAATGGTGTTTAATTCCTCACAAAAAAGAAAAAGAAATGGTTTTTAATTTATTTCCTCTCCACATATTTTTGCTTCCATACTTCCTCCCAATATCCAAGCTCCAACTGGACTCAGGTTCTCAGTTAAAATGAATATTGCACAGTCGACGAAATTTAAGCAGAGTTGCATCGTACTCTCAAGTCATACATTGTGGATATACTCTTTTCATGGGTATGCTGCTATACACCGGCTGCACTATAGTGAAACATTAATATGATTATTTTGAAAAATTAGTGTTATCATTTTTTTTAGTTCATGTTTGACCTGGTGCTTTTGGGATTAAGGCTTGGATGTTGTTGCATGTTTGACCTGGTGGCTGGTCAAGACATTTTGAACAGAACAATTTCCACTTGATTGTACAGCTATCATGTTATTCACACATTTTGTGATCTACAATCTTTCCACCTTAGTGGCTAGACTATGGACCGGCACCGCGTTCTGTTTTGGTCTTCTGAGTTCTGACCAACTTATCCTGTAGATCTTTGCCAGATAAGCTAGCTTTAAGGACTAAAAGTTGTAAGAAATCGGTACTCATACACAGAAAGTGAAAATTGAAAGAGGACCAAATTAAGATCAACCTAATGGTCATGGTCTCATGGAGCCAAAAAAAGGAAATTATTCTTGATCATGACAGTTCTATGAACTCATGTAATGAATTATCAGAACCAACAAATTATCAGTAGAACCATTATGATATGTGGCTCATGGTTTACAACAAAATCTAGTTGTACTAAAAAATGTTCACTTTTTTAATACCCTCCCTCCATTCATAGAGTTACATTTCATTTGGAGCAGGCGAAACAGTATACACATGAGTGAAGCTCAGCGGAGTGCATTAAATGCGATGCTGTTCAGGACAGGAGACCAATCACGAGATGTGGTTCTCGTCCTTGCAACCAACCGGCCAGGCGATCTTGACATGGCCATCACCGACCGCATCGATGAGGTCATCGAATTCCCCCTTCCACAGGAGGAGGAACGCTACCATCTCCTAAAGCTCTATATGAACAAATACCTCGCATCTGGGGAAGGTGACCTCAGCAAGTCCAACTGGTGGAGACGGCATCTGTTTAAGAAGACATCACGGAGAATAGTGGTGAAAGATGATGTGACGGATGATGTTCTTAGGGAAGCTGCCCGAAAGACTGAAGGGTTTTCCGGAAGGGAGATTGCAAAACTAATGGCCAGTGTGCAGGCTGCTGTTTACGGGAGCCCTGATTGTGTCCTCGACTGCCAGCTGTTCAAGGAGATTATTGACTTCAAAGTTGCAGAGCATAAGCAGCGTATGCAATTGGCAGCTGATGGCGGCCAGCCTTCCTACTGCTTAAGTTAAGCTGTGACAATAAAATTTTTCGGAAGTCCCAAACCAAGTATTAGTTTAGCGATTGTGTAAGAGCATAAGTTCAAGCGATACATTATGACTAATTTTTTCATTTTTAAATGGTGAGGTGACTAGATGGTGAACATTTCATTAATAACAATCTCACATGAAAGTGATTTTTGCCGAATTGTCTTGGTTTAAAGTATTATTTGACTTGGTTTTTTATCAGCTTTGGAAATGTTGTTTATAATGTTGAATCGCTGTACACATGAAATACGTGAAGGTTCTTGAGACTCTTCATACTAAACATTAATCAGAAATACGGAGTAACATTTCATATGGGTTTTGGGAACCCGTACACCTTCTAAACTTACAAAAGTCCCAAGTGAGGTTGACAAAGTCTGGTTTTGATTTCGTTTGGTCAAATCCAATTTGGTCCCAAATACGTAGTTTTGGGCGCTACAATTGGCCGTTTCTGCAGTGGTTCCTGACTTGGCCTTCATGTTCTCTTCAACCCAAAATAGAAAACCAGGATCAACCTTGTTCTTGGGGCCTAGTTGTGAGAAACAATGGACCAGAAATAGACCAGAAATAAGTTAATTATCTGGTCTGATTTTGATTCGAGACAGCAATTTGGGATTTTAATTGGGATTGTGTCCATCCCAATTCCATTTAGTGCTTTTAACTTTTAAAAGGCTTTAAATTTATTGTTTCGCAGCGTGCTTTTTATTTGCATATAAATCGCCATCCTTGAATTTAGTTTTAAAGATTAGTCAAACTATTAATCTAAATTTATATACTCCCTCCGTTCTCTAATAGATGAGACTATAGGAGTATAGCCTTTGGCACAAGATTTAAGAAGGAATTAATAGGAGTAGGATAAAAGGTGTAGTGTGTTGTGTGTAAAGGTAAAAGTAGGAAAAAGAATGAAAAAGTAGGAAAGAGAATGAGGGTAAATGAGTGTATTTATTGAAAACACTTACCAAAAGTGGAAAGGGAGACAAATAGGGATGGACCCAGGCCGGTCCAGTTCCGGTTCCGGGCCGGGCCCGGGCGGACTTTTTTTGCAAATCCTTGGGCCCGCAACCGGCCCGGGCCGGGCCCGGTTCAATGTCTATTTTTTTTTTTTTGCTTTCTTGTTATCCCCGACTCCCCCCCTCACCCCCACCCCAAACCTCCCCAAAACACCCAGCCCTACCCTAGGAAAAGAAAAAAAATTGAAAAAACAAAAAAAAAACAAAAAAAATTGACCCGGACCCAGCCCGAACCGCCCGGGCCGGTTCACCCAAAGCTAGGCCCGAGCCCAGCCCGCCCGACCCGCCCAAACGGGCTAAAAGCCCGGAACCGGCCAACCGGTCCCGGTCCGGTCCGGGCCCGCACAGTAGCGGGCCGGGCCGGTTTCAGGCCGGACTGGCCCGATTTAGTCCATCTCTAGAGACAACTAATAGAAAACATTTCAAAATGGAAAGAGGGCCAAGTATTAGAGAATAGAGAACGGAGGGAGTATAAATTTAATTATTAACACTAATTAAGTATTGTAAACCATATACTCCGTACTATAATAGTTAGAATTTGATGAAAAACACTTGTTTAAATATTATCAAAGAATTAATTTACATTCACTCGATCCAATTAAATATTTTTTTTCTGCATCTTTTTTGAACAAAGGGTGCACAAATTTACTTAAAAAAGAATGATAAAAAGAAAATATTGGGTAGTTGTAGAATTAGTTGTCAGGCTTTTGTGGAAATTTAGAAGAAATGGTAGGGGGCTAGGGGTAATAAAAAGAAAGAATAAGAGCTCGTTTAAAAGTAGAAAAGAAAGAAGACAAAAATAGGAATAATAATTTAGAAATACGAAGTATATGCACTGTTATCTAGACCATTTCTAGGTGTAAGAATTTTAAAATGGAGAATGATATGTTCTGATGAGCAAGTTATATTTTGGGCAAAAAACCTGGTAGGCCATCAACAACGAAAGAAGATGAGTGCAAAGGTGGAATTATTCTGGGATTACACAAAAGTGAGATTATCATAAGAAGACCAGTTAAAGGTGAGATTATTCTTGTCAATTTTTCCTTTATATAATGCATTTCAATCATTGTATGCAACATTCGATAATACATTTTCAAGGACGATTGAACTTCAGTTGGCAATCAGGCCATGATTCAAAGTTCAAACTTCAAAGGCATGAAATAGCCTTCACCGGAGTGCTATGTCATAGCAATGCATTGCATCGTGTGCATAAAACTCAATTAGATATCCAAATGAAAACGAGTTATTCTTTTAGGTAGTTCTAAAACTTTGTGTCAGTAGGACTCTTTTTCTAGAGGTACTTTTGGTTCCTCAACAGTAAGTAACTAAAAGGGGCTCACAATCCCAAGAAGCCAAGTTCAGTGGCTTTCTCCTTCTCAAATGTCTCAAAATACTGATAAATGATAGTGACCGCTAGTAGAATGCCGGTTCCCGAACCGATGGCGCCCATCATGTCTGCTAACACTGTCAATGCACCGATGCACATTCCGCCAAACGCGGCAGCAGTGGGAATGTAGCGGTTCAGTTCCTTTTGCAGATTTGAATCCCGATGTCCAGGCATCACCATTTGTTGCTCCTGCAATTATAAGAATGGTATTTAGCCTAAACCAAGATTTGATTGGAGAATTTTAATCAGTTGTTTTAAAGTGTTGGGGTGTATTATTTGAAAAAAATGGTGTAGGAATTATTGAAGAAGATTTATTGGTGTAATGCAACAAAACCCAATTTAAACGAACAATTTAAGATATAATGTAAGTGAAGATGTGATTAGAACAATGTTTAGTAAAGGGAAAACACTCATTTTTACACAAAAGAAAACCCGTCATTAACAAAATGAATATTTGTCTTGCCTATTCTTTAAAGTAACTTATGGCACATGGAAAACATTGTGCCTCTACTCCAAGAAGCTCTAACTTGAGCTGTTTATGGGTACAAGTAATGCTCATTGGTATTCAGGAAGAAAAAAAAACAGATGAATGCTTTCCAACTTCTTTTCTTCTAAAATAAAAAACAGTGTAGACATAAGATAACTCATTTTACTTTGCAACTGTCCAAGACAAATGGATTGTTTGGTTAATATTTGTTTAGAAAGGATAGAATCAATATAAACTACTTTCCAACTGTCCAATGAGAAGATTATATAGAGACAACCGAATAGGAAAAATGGTAACTTAAAAGGGATGGAAGATTATTTAGGAAGATTATTTTATTCTACACTTTTACTAGCACAATTCTTATAAGCCTGTAGCAAACACTCAATGTTTTACAGCACTTATTTGTAAGTTTAAAGTTGTTTTTGAAGGGGTTGTACTTTTCAATGACCTTTGAAAGAGAAGGTGCGTTACTGTTCATATACTTAAAATAGCATACGGAAATATGCTCTTAAGGACTTTAAGAAACTAAAAGTTCCATTCACAAATCACAAGCCTATCCACAAAAATAAAGAGTTTATTGCAGTCAGATATTTTCAAATTAAGTTTATTCAAACTTGGGATGAATGAGTTAAGTTTAGACCACTTTTAGAAGTTGAAACAGATGGCATATACCACTATAACAGGGTTATACGCTTGTTTCCATAACAGCTCAACGTAACGCTTTTTATTTTTGAACTTAAATTTAATAACACAAGAATCCTAATAACTATCTTACCTTAAGTTGCTTGGCAACATCTCTTGCTGAAGATCCAGAAACTTCAATCCATGTCTTTGAGAACAACGCACAAGCAGAAAGCATAAAAACTATGTAGAAAAGAGCATGGAATGGGTTTGCCAACATGTCCGCAAGGCTGCCATAATAAGCAAATACTCATGTGTGGGATTACAATCACAAAACCAAAACAATAAAAAAGATAATTGAGTAATATATTCAAACTATCACCTTGATGGTGCAGTTACGTAGTAAGCAAGTCCACCAACAGGAATAGACTGGCCAGAGTATTCCGATTGCTTCCATATACCCAAAAGATTGACAAGGAAGTTTCCACCATACTTCCGGTATAACAACTGTACATGCAGAGTTACTAAATTCTTCAGAACACCTTAATTGTTTATACTCGAATTAAAACCCAAAATATAGTCACTCAGTTATACATTATTACTCAATTCGATCAACTTTTAAAGACTACTTGATCCTGAAAATGCATCTTGACCCTAATTTAGTTCTCACACAAATTTGGTTCTATATAGCATTGGTATATTCGTCAAATAATTAGATTTAGATTGAATTTAGGACTTGATTTGGTCATCCAATTTAATCCTGAGCAGATGAAAATAACCTTTGTAGTTATAGTATAACATGCATAAATACTTAATTGAGTCTAAAAACCAAGCATTCCAACCCAGCTGGTTGTGAGTTTACCGTGCCTAGTGGGAGTTCTCGAGTTCGAAACCCGCTAGGCACATAAGGGTTTGAAACTCAATGGGCTGAGTTTCAGCCCTGATTACTCCAGGCCCCCCAACCCCAGACCCCCCCCCGGAGTAAAAAAAAAAGCTTATAGTTGGGGAAGAAGGTTAAGGACCAAAATGAGCAATAGCATATAGTTGGGGAACTGAATCAGGCATTAAATGTTTATACTTCACAGAAAGAAGTCTTGGGTACCTGAGATATGAAATAGAGGTTGGATACTAGTGCAGATTGAAGAATGATAGGCATGTTGGAGGTATAGAATAATTTAATTGGATAAGATCCTTGTTGTCCGCGGGCATTCTTTGATCTGACAGGAAGAACCACTCGAAAACCTTGGAAATAGTTGACAACGCAGAAGATTAAAACTGTGGCAAGCAGATTGGTGACATTGGGAAGATTTTGCCGGTAGAAAGCCTCTCTGAGGGCCCTTACTTTATCTGTTCGAGCTATTAGTAGATGGAACAAAGCAATAATAGCACCTTCAAATTCAGCTCCACGGCCCGTATTAATGGTTGTAGGGCTGAATGCTTTCCAGATAATACTTTCACTGAGAAATTTTTATTAAATTAAGCAATCATCAATACATACACAAAGAAACAACCATTGAATTAAAAAGTTTTGGGAGTGAATACAAAAAATTGCAGTGTTACCAGATATTGGTAGCTATAAATAGGGAAATCCCAGAACCAAGACCATATCCCTTCTGAAGGAGCTCATCTAAACACATGACTATAATGCCAGCAAAGCAGAGTTGGATAATAATTAGAATGGCATTTCCAACACCCAATTGGTTCACACTTCCATACATCCCTGATAGG